ACAACTAAGGAATCAGAGCCTAAACCATAATACAGAATAATACAAAAACACAAGAAAAAGAAGATGCTGGGTCAAAATGACCCAGAACCTTGACAGCCTAAGCGTGCCATGTTAGAATTGTCTGTTTATGCCTTACGTAATGAAACTACTGCACACATTTCTCATTTCCCCAATAAAATATAAAGAAATGAGGGTGACTCAGTACTGTACGGCCTTATTAAAAGCATAAATCATATTCAATCAAATTAGTGTAAAATCCTTTTATACCCAATCCACATTTCATAACAAGTGCCTGAAATTTGCAATTAATGTGAATATGTATCAAGAGTGTGGAACCCTGTAGTGTTCGGTGTCAGGTTATGTATACTAGTAAATCGGAACTGTGCCATCTTTTTATCAGGAGTCATACCGAGTGGCCACATGTTTCCAGAAGACCCCTATGGATTCGGTCATGGCTGTGTAAGAAGCTTTGCAGTGCCCCACTTACTCACATAGCATTCAGCCCTCACTGACACACAGACTGAATCGACTGACAGGCCTGTGGATGTGGCCACGCGAGCTACATGTCCCAGTGGCACTGTGCTAAATCTCGCCTTCCTTTTCTTACCTACAATAGCTTCAAATGGGGGCTTTCACAGCCAATGAGACAATGTGAAGAATACTCACATCTCTGTGAGAGATTAATTACTTTCTCCTTTTCGTGGCAGCATTTTGCTGACGGTGGCGAAAAGTGGGTCGGCCGCTGTGTGCTGCTAACATTGGCTTTATCGGGGGAAAAGCGTCCACCTTAACAGGTGTTGCTGGTGGTGGTTTCGGGCGGTTTGTGTAGACACTGAAACCATATCAGAGGTTTGGCTAGAATATTTCCTAACAAGCAAACAAACCATTATCAGTGTTTGATTGTATCTGCTCCCACATTTAGAAAAAGACATTGGATCTTCTTGCTCTTAACTCTAAAGTTGCTCTACTTTCATTTTCTGGCTACGTAGCGTGCTGTTACTGAAGCTCTACACTCCGTTGTGTCATTCTTCTGTATGTGAAGTATGTTAAGCAAAGGTCAGTGGATTGTTTGGGTTAGAGCTAGGGTGGAAGCTCCATCATGGGCAGGGTGGTATTTCCTGAAGCACTTAAATAAATTAGAGCCTGGAAGCCACGTCTCTGAAGACAGGAACCCGTAATCGCTCAAAAGACCTTTTTTTTTTTTTTATACGAATATTATGGCTACTGTTCTGAAAAGACAGTTTTTGTCTGTTTGAATATTTTATAATCTACTAGAGTGATTAGAATTTGAGGTGTCTTTCAATATTTCTCTCCTTTTACTATAATAATATAATATTATTATATTTAATATAACAATAAGAAGTTGATTGTTATCTTTGAGACGCTAGCATTTTCTGGTTTGAGCTATTTTTATTCTAAAAGTGAGAAAACGGGTTTGATCGGGATCCTTACCGCAAGTTAATGTTGCCTTTGTTCCCAAACGAGATCCCACTTTATTTATTTATTTATTTGTGAAATCTTGGTGCACATTTTGCTTTATGTCTGTACCACCGTGATCTATATGGTAACAGCTGTCAGCATGAAGGAAGCGCATCTGTCGATGAGCTTAAAAAGAACACGAAAAAGTTTGTTTGTCCCAGTTGAGTCGTGTTTGTGTCGGTTTCCCATTCCAACCTGTTTCCAGATTCGCTGCATTAGCCTAGCATCACTTCTTTTATACATCCCTCTCCTTCTGTACGCGCTGCGAGGCTTATTATCTGTCATTGTCTCCTTATCTTCATCTGTTGTTCAGTTGCTGCGATGAGGGGAGAGCCGTCTGTGCATTCCGTCAGTTCTTTGCCACAAAATGTCTTCAAAGCTTCCACGTTCTGTGAAAGAAGTTTGACAGAAGGCGTAAAATATGTCCCGATTGTGTTATGGTTTGATGGATTCATGCTCTTCCTTAATGATGAATTGATTATCGTCCTTGAATATAATCTTTCACTCCCCCGCCGTTAAAAGTCGTTCCGTGAAATTGAGGAAGACTTGAGTTTCGAATCCGTCACACAGCACATCATACTTCATCTTTAATTCATGGCCAACCCTCAACTTACCTTGAGATATGCAAGAGTGCAGCTGGGGTGAAAAAAGCTGACTGGACATTTTTATACATTAATCATCATCGTGAGCTGCTTTAGAGAGTTTTCATCTCAGCTGAAAATCTCATTTGGATCGGAAATTATGCACACATTTTGTATGGTTTGGTAGAGGAATAAAAGACTAAGCTGAATTTTGTATTAGCGCATCTGCCTGGGGATCCATCGCTGACTTTAAATGTGTTTAAATTTGTTTGTGCAGACGGGTGGATCACTCCCCTCCCATAATGGCTTAAATTTGTAGAGCTTTCTTCTTTTATGTTCATTTTTCTTCCTTACAGATTATTTCCAAGTTCTGGGGGCTATACCAAGCATACCGCATCAATGCATCACTTGATACTGTGCATTTGTAGGACCGCAGGTTTATCTAACTACTCGTCCAGATTTAATAGTGTTTAATGAAGCAGTGATGTATAGGCAAAATGAGAATTCATCGATTTTATGTGAGAATCTGGGTGACTTTCTTTCATACTGAGATATAGTACCTTTCTGGTTTACTTGTACTTTTATATAGAAGGTGTATTTGTTGTCTATATTAGATGCCATAAATTAGATTACAAGATTTTCAAGCAGCTCCACGCAAGCAACATTTGTAACTCATCATTTAGATGGTGCCTAACAAATTTTATTTTTATATTTTCCTTTCAAATAATTTAACTTCTTCAGATCTTTAAAACCACTATAATGTACAGCACCCAGTAATTTAGATGACTCTTTAGGTTTGCCATTCAAACCTGGCATGCTGTTATGCATCCTGTGCAGAGGGGTTACAAGCAGACTCAGATTATTATTAAAGAGCCAAGGCCCAAGAATAGGTTATGAACTCAAACTTGACTTCCTGTTATTACCAGCACTTATATTTTGTTTCAGCTGGACTCACATCAACAACATTAATGTCACTTTTTGTTTAGAATTTAAAACACCACAACTGTGTCTTGGTTTTGTCCAGGTGGAGCCAGTGTGTGGGCCATTACTCCGGAGGAGAGGGCGAAACATGACAAACAGTTTGAGACCCTCTCCCCCGTCCTCGGTTACATCTCAGGTAGGCTGTTTTCATAAGAAACAGACCACGAACTTGCTTCTGTTTAACGGGAGGTTGTGTCATTAGCAGTAAGTGAGCTGCATATGGTTTTTTTGTTTACCTGCAGGAGAACAAGCAAGAAAATTCTTCCTGCAGTCCGGCCTGCCTGCTTCTGTCCTGGCTGAGATTTGGTAAGCACTGACTGACAACTTGGCAAAGTCCTTGTCACAACTCAATGCTGAGCGGGAGCAAGTGGGTCAGTAGGGCCAAGATTTTGTTACACTGGCTTGCGTTCAGCTTCCTGTTGAGCATTTATTTCCTTCACAGCCTGCCACACCTAGTAAACTATGTGAGTGAAGAGAGGGCGGGGGCGTCCTGTAATTAGAACTCGCTTTCTGTGTGTGTGTGCGTGTGCGTGTGCGTGTGCGTGTGCGTGTGTGTGCGTGTGTGTGTGTGTATAATGAGACTGGAATTCAATCCCACCACAACCTTGTCCCCAGTGATTTTTTTTCTATTGTTTCAATAAAGAGGGAAAGAAAAATAGGAACGTACACTTTGCTACACACAGATCATTATATACTCCAGATTTTCTTCTTCCCCTCTTTTAGGAACTTAGCCGACATGGACAGTGATGGGAAAATGGACAAACTGGAGTTTTCCATTGCTATGAAGCTCATCAAACTTAAACTTCAAGGACGCAACTTGCCCTCCGCTTTGCCAGTCGTCATGAAGCAGCCTCCTGCTTCCAATTGCGGTTCAACCATCGCTTCCTCAGCACGATTTGGTACAAGCATTTATTTTCTCCAAAATGAGATAATTATGCATTTGAAAAAAATACAAAATGATTGATTTTTTTTGTGTGTTTCCTCCATATAGGAATGGGTTCTATGCCAAACTTGTCAATTGGTCTGTCATCCATGTCAGCTATGTCAGCTATGTCAGCCATGCCCATCCTCACACCCATCCCAGTTAACCCCCCCATGCCCTCAATGCAACCCCTGTTGCCAACGCCTGTGACTCTGCCACTTATCGCCCCGCTTGGAAACTGTGGGCTCCACAACGGCACCCTCCTCACCCCACCACTCGTTCCTAACAACGCAGGTTGGTTCTGCAGTGGGAACCATTCTGGGCAAAACAAAATAGATAACGATCAATGGATTAGCTCCAGCAATGGGCCTAAAAGTGAACATAGGCCGAAGCATGACTAACAGTCATGCTCCAGAGCCATTTCATTTCATTTTACTTAACAACGATATTTCAGTGGCACACATCAATGTTATCTTGTTCACAAGCAAATAAAGCCACTGCAGTTGTAATCTGCTCATAACTTTGCACATTGCATAACAAGGTCCCATGACCTGATTGCACTTATTGCTTGCATAAACCGATATTATAAATTCCTTTAAAAATGACACTCAGCAAAAAGCTGATTAACAAACCAGTATAGTAGGAAGATTTTACATTTCACAAAAATAAAACAAAGTACCAAAAAAATTAGAGCTTGACTAATTTATTAGAACTTATGCACTTTGTTACTAGCAGCCTGTCATAAATAGATTATGAATGGAACAAAAGATAGCCGTCGTCCAAAGAAGAGCTTTGAATGTAATTTCAAAAGCCTGAAGGCTACTTAAAGAAATTACCAGAAAGTTGACGTAAGATAATTTAGACTGTGTTGAAGAATAACAGTAATTTTGCCCAAAATTGACTTAAAAACTTGTTTAAAAAAAACAAAAGAACAATTATATCGAATTATCGGCTTTTTAAAGGACCAGTTATCGTCTTAAAAATCATTTACCAGTATGGCTCTAATAAGTAGCATCCATTTAAATGTTCAGATTGTTTCAGCTATGTTAGCCTAATCATATTTCCAAATATTTTCCAACTTTGAAACACATACTTTTTCTCCTTGCAAAACTTTTAAGTATCGCCACCATCTTCACCACCGAAAATGTTTCTGATGATTCACCAGAACCAGCTCTCTGCAAAGTAAAAATAAATTCATAAACCAAAAATCACCTGTCAGCTAATAAACTAACCACAGTTTACCCAACATAAATGTTTGGTGTAATTCAGTAACGTGACTTGGTTGTGTGTGATATGAAATAAGCAGATTTGTCTTTTGGTAAAGCTGAAATCTGCAATTTCTTTGCTCCTGCTTTTTTTTAGCAGCTTTGCAGGAAGATTCGATTTTTGTTGAACAGTATGGAGCATGGTGCATACAGGATTTTACATATAATTTGTTAATATTTTATGTGTAAGGGTCAGTTATTCATGTCCTGAGCTTCAGTGGTGCAGTAAAGCAGTGAGGATTACGCTTGGAACATGAAAGAGCTGCAACTTATCTTTCTACTCTCTCAAGTCTTATATTGGTCTTGTGATGTGTGCATGCTTTGCATTTAGTATAGGCATATCTGTGTGTGTGTGTGTGCGTGTGTGTGTGTGTGAGAGATGCAGCACTGCAGCTTTTCAAACACTCAGTGTTTGCTGCAGTTCAGATAGGAAAGTTAATTTATATCAACTGTGGGAACATATATGTTATATATACATTAGCAGTTCTTCTGTTTGGATTTCTCTTACATCTCAGTCTGTTCTCTTCATTTCTCACCTCCTCCATCTGTTCCGTGGCCACTCTCTTTAATCTTACTCAGTCTGTTCCAGTATGATTTCTGGCTGTGAAATGAGCAATCTAATAAGAGTTAGTGTGAGATTAGCCTTTTATTTGGTGTTCCTCCTCCATTTTTTCTCTCTCTCCCTCTCTGATGAAAATATATCAGTGCCACAGCTCTTGAGACTCTCTTTAGCAAGTGGTTGCAGCCAACTACAATCTCTTACCCAGATGTTAATAACCTTGCTGGTTGAGGTCTGTGTGCAGCGACTTTAAAGTATGAGCAGATAAGATAAGATGTACGTACCACCAAGGGCAGCAGAAGTCTGCATGTTCGCAGAATGTCATAAATTGATCTATTAAAGAAAAGGACGTGCACGTTCTGGATATAGTAACATGTGTAAACTGAAACATTCTTTTGAATTTCCCAAATGGAGATTTTACCATTAACAGAGTGTCTCCAACTGCATTTACAGGACTTCCTCTCTCTGGCTTCTCCTCTCCTATGGCCTTCTCCCCGTCCACTGGCATGTCAAAGGCCAACTCTCTACTCGACCTGGGATCGAGCAGGTGAGATTATTACTGAGCAAATTACTAAACTGTTATTAGCATGTAATAAAGATGTGCTTGGGCTCTAGGAAAATGCTTTCAAACTAAGCAAGATCCCAATCCAGTAGAGCTCCTTTGAGATGTGGCGCAACGGGAGATTCGGATCAATGCTGCATGTGTGTACTACATAAGTGAAGTCATGCTGAAAGACGAATTTAGAAATATTTATGTCAGTTAAATTTAGGGTTTACTGGTTTTAAAACATCCCGTTTGTTATCTACACACGCTTGTTTGAGCACTCAGACAGATGCAGTCATGCCGTGATTTCAGCAGGAAAGGGTTGAGAATTAGAGCACAAACAGAGATGAAACTCCCAGATAACACTGAGTACAGGAAAAACATTTTGAAATCAGAGGGTTTTGGCAATAGCAGGAAGTTGTCTTGTTTAGAGTCGAAAACGTCAGAGAACAGGAATCCAAAAGCATTCTCAATGGGCGAGGTCATTATAGATCTTAAATGCTTAGAATGCTATGACTATTTTTCTGAACAACTACGATGTTTTTTTGTAAATGTTATATAGTCATCTGTCTATAGTCACCTAGACATAAGGTAGATAGATCATTGGTCCCTGTGGTCTCCATAAGCCACTGTGTCCCCATTTCAGTCATTCCTATTCAGGGTAAGATATTAGGTAACGTAAAACAGGCAAACAAAATGTTAAATAAGTTGCTTGAATCTTCGTCACCAGAAATAAGCCCAAATTGCTGCTGCAGCTTAAAATATGTGGGTTGGTTTTTTTTTTAGCTGGTGACTTTAGGGGAATTAGGCCATCACATCAATGATCTCCTAGTGTGTCATTTCATACTGTTTTGTGCCCACTGAATAGATGTTTTTTCTTTGTTTTTGCCCTGCTTACTTCTAAAATGAAATCAAAAATGAATTTTAGCTCATGTCTAAAATGAAATATAAGACTGCAACTAGAGGGGTTTGTAGTTTTACTTATGTGCCAGTGAAGCTTTCATCTCTGTTTTGGCACAATGTACTTTAATATCTGCCGAGGTTTGGAAGGTCCTCTTGCAGTTTCTCTGACAGCCAAATCCTCTTGAATATCTAATATCCTTTGTCCACCTCATGGTGTTTTGAGTGGGTTTGGAAAAGAACACAAATAGTATCTGATTTCATTGTTTTGAATAGCTTAGCGCTTCACACAATAAGCCCTGACCTCAGGTGTAGGTGGTAAGGAAAGCATTATTAAGGGCACCAGAATACCAAGAAGTACAATAGATGCAGTTTAATCCCACAGCTGCTTTTACCTTCCAGTTCTAGCTGTTAGACTTTCTAATATTAGGACAGATGCGTGATAGTTCTTTGAGGTTTTTCCGGTCTGTACTTCCGCAATCTTTTTACTGTGCGTATATACACCCAGAAAAACAATGCTTTGGCATCTCCTGTTGTCTTTCTGAAACCTTAATGAGTATTGCAAGTTCCCACTCTGCTACAATTTTCAACCATGACTATCATGTGGTCTGGCATACTCATTATGGACTGGTATTTATATAGCACTTTTCTTGTCTCACTGACTACTAGCCAAATGTAACAACACATTTATAACATGATTTATTCTATAAACTTTAAGCACTTTATCTGCTTCATATCCAGGAATCAACAGTTAACTAACATGCATGTATTTGGACTGTAAGAATAAGGACTTGATAGCACTTGATAGCGCTAACAATTCAACCACCGCACCCCACCGAATGGCTGATTATGATGTTGTCTTGTTTCATTGTCCAAAAGTCATTGTCTGCTTAGCTGTTTGCGCCAGCTTCCTCTGCAGTTAATTAAGAGCTGAGAAATAACACCGGGGAGTCTCCAAGCAATTAGTGGTCTAAGGAGAAAGAAAAAGGCTGATCATATATAATATAATAATAATACTTTTTCAGTTCCCTTTAGGTGATTTGTTGACATATAGACACACCTTTCTTGTCTCTTACCATAGTTCCAATTCCTCCTCCACCACATCTTTGGCCAGTAACTCCCCAAAGATGGGCGCAAGTGATTGGGCCGTTTCCCAGGCCTCAAGACTCAAGTACCGTCAGCAGTTCAACACACTAGACAAGCTCATGACCGGCTACTTATCAGGTAAGTCCTGTGCACACACAAACATACACGCATGAATTTAAACAAACATGAAATTCTCAGGACCACTAGGCTTCACATGAGTGCTCCTGTCAGTGTTTAAAAGCGAACAATTTAGGGTCAGTTTCACTTTGCACACATGCACTCGCGTTCTCCTGTAATTGCTCTTAACTGCACTTAACAGAACTTGGAAAGCACACAAACGTATTCACTGTAAGAGTTCACTTTGCTGTTCTGATCTGATCTACGTGTTACTTTGCAGGACCTCAGGTTAGAAATGCACTGATGGCATCAAATCTGACGCAGACTCAGTTAGCTACCATCTGGTGAGTGTAATGTGTGTATGTGTGTGTATGTTCTTGCCTATCTATCGTAGTGAGGACCAGTGACAGTTTATGACCATTGAAGTAAGGACATTTTGGTAAAGTGAGGACCCTTTTGCCACTTTCCCCTATTTTTTCCAAGACCTCAAAGTCTGTGAAGTCTGTTTTAGGTTAAAGGTTAGAATTTCCTAATTTTACCCGTAAACTAGGGTTAAGAGGAGAGTTTACTTAAGTAAAAGCATGAAACTATGTTAAGTGAAATACTGTGTACCACTCTTTAATGGCCAGATAATTGATTATGTGCTTCAATAATAAAATTGAGCTCTGCAGACAACGTAAATACCAACGCTGACTGTGTTAAAAGAGTTTAACCACTTATAAAGCTGGCTTTGAAGAATTTCTAATTTGACTATACAGTACTGTGCAAAAATCTCGAGCCATCCCTCATTTCATTATACTGTTAGGAAATGGGAAATAGGTGCAAACATAAATTCTGTATATGAGGCAAAAGCAGAGTTTGTACAGTTTGAGCAAGCTTAAAAGTCAATATTTGATATGACCATGTTTATTCTTCAACACGTTCCTTAGGCAAGCAATCTTCCAGACTTCTTGAAGGACATTCAAGGAATCAGGATGCTGGCTGCCTGTTCGCTGTCTGTTTGACACAGGCTGCTGGTAACAAAGTGCCTAAACAGACAATTTGCTAAGTTTTATGTTATGCGTACAACCAACACTAGTTTATCCCTTGAGCTAGCACACCTCTTTCATGCTTGAATAATTCATAGGTCAGAGTTAAGTGGCTTAAAAAAACAACAGCAACAACAAAAAAATTAGTCTGAAAATGACTAATACATGGATTAGACTGAAAATGAGGTCAAAAGTAGCCAACTTCTAAAGAAACAGACTTTCAGAAAGCAGAACTAGTTTCTTTCAGAAAGAACTAGTGAAACTAGTCAAAACCACTTTAAAATATAGAGGAAAGTCTTGGTAGCAAAATATAAAGAAATGAAGTGTGACTCACGACTTTTGCATCGTACTGTATTTTATTGGAACTGTGAGCCACAAAAGGAGCAAATAACACATTTGAAGTCATAAGACTCAGTAGTATTTTATAAACGTTATAGCTGTAATATCTGACAGTACTAAGAACATTACTTATTATCTGAAACCATTTGTTTGCAGTGATGATCCCCTCATTCTCCTCCACTTTATCAACTGATGAATGTCTGTGAGCCCAGTACTCTTGATTTATATCCCACGTTTCCTTCCACTACTGTCCCAATGCCAGAAACAGCAGAAGGATGCTTGCAGTGAAAAATCTCTAACTTCATTATCTTCTCACCATGATGTTCTTATTGACACACAGCACTGTGTGATTTGTCTGTAGGACCTTGGCAGATGTGGATAAGGATGGCCAGCTGCAGGCTGATGAGTTCATTCTGGCCATGCACCTGGTGGACATGGCTAAGACGGGCCGCCCTCTACCACTCACTCTGCCACAAGACCTAGTACCACCCTCTCTGAGGTAACACAGAGATTCATTTACAATTTTTTAAAAAAAAAAATAACCAAATAGATAAATGAACAAATTTTTTTTTTTTGCTTTTGTTACAGAGGAGGAATTAAATCCAATGAGCTTGTTAATGGAACAGGGCCCTACATAACTCCCTGTTTAATAGACACAGCAGAGATAGAACCTGCTCAAAAGAACAAGAGCAGCGGTATGGCTTTGTGAATTCTGCATGTTTTGTTCCATTGGACATCCTTCCATCCTCTGTCTTACTTTGTAATACACCTATTTCTTTCCCCTCCTCTTAGTGTCCTTTGAGGACAAGCTGAAGGAGAACTTTGCAAAGGGAAGCGCAGAGCTGGAGAAACGACGTCTAGCTCTTGAGGAGCAGCAGAAAAAGGAGAAGGAGAAGAGAGAGAGGGAGGAGAGAGAGGCTCAAGAACGGAGGGAGAGGGAGGCCAGGGAGCTGGAGAACCGGAGGAGGCTGGAGGAGGAGAGGCGGCTGGAGAGGCAGATAGAAATGGAGCGACAAAGGGAAGAGGAGAGGCTGAGAGAGCTGGAGAGGAAGGAGGTGAGTGC